CTAAAACTCAACTGGAACTCAACTAGAACTGATGTAGTACTAAACTGGAACATAACTCGAACTGAATACTTTGTATTCATACTTATTAAGGAAAAATTGTAAATAATAAATATTTTTAATATATTTTTTTAATTTATATTTAATTATTTGGTTGTTTTTTTTAATTTTTGTTGAGTTTATTTTTGTTTAATGTTTAACAAATTTTTTAACAATTTTTGTTTTTTTTTAATTTATGTTTTATTTTTTTATTTCATAAAGAAATTAATCTTTTTATTGTTAATTAAAGCCATTCTAGCAAATTCTTTTATAAGCTGGATTTCTTTTCATTATACATATATTTAATTAATAATAAAAAATAACATTTACAAATATGTATTTTAAAAAAGAACTGAAAAAAATATCAAGAAATATTTTTTTTACTTAAAGATTTTTAATTTAATTAAAAATCTTTAATAGTTTTTGTTTTAATCAGAACATGGAATCAGTATATATTTAATGAATTCTGTATTTGAATATTGTTTTTGTTTGTGTTATAAAAGTTGTAATAACTTTGTTGTTTGTTATGTTTTATATATATTGAATACTTTTAGGCATTTATATTTTAGAGTTCATTGCATATTTCAGGGATTTGTTTGTTGTCTTTATTTAAATAAATATTTATTATTATATTAGTACTATTTCAAAATTGCATTAAATTTCTTGTTATAAAGAGGTTGGTTTAATTTATAAATTATTTTCATTTGTTATTAATAAATTCGTTATCAAATATGTTTATTATTATTTTATGTAATTTGTTTATAATATTATTTAATGTTATGTTTATTTTGTTTTTTTTTTTGCTAAAGGAAGGATGTTTTGTTTAGGAATCTTTCAATTTATTTTGTCGAATTTTATTTTTTAAATGGGCTACAAAAACAGACTAGGTTCATTCATTTATTTATTAGACTTATATGTTTTTTGTTTGTTTAATATATGTTTTGTTTTAATTTTATGTTTTAATATATTTATGCATATTTGAGAGATCTGTTATTGATTTCGTATATATATGTATGTACATAATCTATGTACTTGTTTTATATACAAGTTTATATTTATAACAAAAATTGTTTATTCTTAAATGCCTAATACTGTTCCGTCTATGTTGTATTATTTTTAAATGTAATATTTAAAATATTAAAAAAAAAACTAAAAAATAAAATTAATATTTTCAAATATATAATTGAACTGAACTAGAACTAAGCTAGAACTGAAGTACACTGAACTAGAACTGAACTAGAAATACTGAACTAGAACTGAACTAGAACTGAACTAGAACTGAACTAGAACTGACTAGAACTGAACAGAACTGAACTAGAACTGAACTAGAACTGACTGAACTGAACTAGAACTGAAACTAGAACTGAACTAGAACTGAACTGAACTACTAGAACTGAACTAGAACTGAACTAGAACTGAACTAGAACTGAACTAGAACTGAACTAGAAGAACTGAACTAGAACTGAACTAGAACTGAACTAGAACTGAACTAGAACTGAACTAGAACTGAACTAGAACTGAACTAGAACTGAACTAGAACTGAACTAGAACTGAACTAGAACTGAACTAGAACTGAACTAGAACTGAACTAGAACTGAACTAGAACTGAACTAGAACTGAACTAGAACTGAACTGAACTAGAACTGAAGTAGAACTGAACTAGAACTGAAGTAGAACTGAACTAGAACTGAACTAGAACTGAACTAGAACTGAACTAGAACTGAACTAGAACTGAACTAGAACTGAACTAGAGCTGAACTAGAACTGAACTAGAACTGAACTAGAACTGAACTAGAACTGAACTAGAACAGAACTAGAACTGAACTAGAACTGAACTAGAACTGAACTAGAACTGAACTAGAACTGAACTAGAACTGAACTAAACTGAACTAACTGAACTGAACTAGAACTGAACTAGAACTGAACTAGAACTGAACTAGAACTGAACTAGAACTGAACTAGAACTGAACTAGAACTGAACTATGAACTGAACTAGAACTGAACTAGAACTGAACTAGAACTGAACTAGAACTGAACTAGAACTGAACTAGAACTGACTAGAACTGAACTAGAACTGAACTAGAACTGAACTAGAACTGAACTAGAACTGAACTAGAACTGAAACTAGAACTGAACTAGAACTGAACTAGAACTGAACTAGAACTGAACTAGAACTGAACTTGAACTGAACTAGAACTGAACTGAACTATAACTGAACTAGAACTGAAATAGAACTGAAATAGAACTGAACTATAACTGAACTTGAACTTAACTAGAACTGAAGTAGAACTTTTTTGTAGATAAAATCATCTGAAAACAAATTTTTTTGAATGAAAACAAATAAAATAAAATTCTTTTAAAATTTTTTCTTTTTAATTTTTATTATTAATAATATATAGAGTTCTTTTTGTGATATACTTTTTAACTTTTTACTCACATCTTAAATAATTAAAGCCAAAAATTTTTTTATAAATGAAAAGAAAAAAAAACAAATTAAAACTAAAAGAGAGCTAAGCTTATAATAAACAACTATAAATGGATTAATCATTAAAAATACTTAATAAACAATTGATAATTTGATATAATAATAAAAAATACCTAAGGAAAATAAACAAATTTTCAAAGAAAAATAATATCATATAAAATAAAGGAAAATTAAAAATAAAATTAACAATAAAAACAAAAGGGTGTTAAATGTGTTAAATATTATTAAAGTTATAAGGTTAATGTGTTTTCATATAGTTAATTGTTTAATTTATTTTAATTGTTATTTACTCAATTTTTAAGGTTTACAACATGTATACTTTTTTGTTTTGTTTTTTCTTTAATTATTTTATATAGTTTAGTACATAACAAGGTATGCAGCAAATCAGTCCAATAGAGAGAGAGAGTTGTTATATAAATGTAGTAGTATTTATGTAGTTAGTTAAAGAATATTTTTAAATAGATAGATAAATATAGATAGATAGTTAAGATAGTTTTAATTGAATGTTGGCATTAATAATTTCTTATAAATGTATGTTGAAGTAGAAATAATAATACTATTGTAGAATCAAATTTTATGTGTTTTTGCTGTGAAATTTGCATTCATAATCCCAAAAATACTAGAACAAAGAATTGTTTTTTAGTACTAAAAATTATTTAAAAAGTTTTATTACAAAAATTTTTTATAAAATACTTTTAGTACTAAATATTTTTATATAAAAAGTCTTTTGTACTAAATAGTTTTTAATAATATACTTTTCGTACTAAAAATTGTCTATAAAAAACTTTTAGTACTAAATATTTTCTATAAAAATCTTTTAATACTTCTATAAAACCACTCTTATACTTTTAGTAGTAAATTTTTTATATAAAAGTATTTTAGTACTAAACATTTTTCTATGAAAATCATTTTGTATTAAAAATTTTTCTATAAAAAACTTTTAGTACTAACAAATTTTCTAAAAAAAATCATTTAGTACTAAACAATTTTATAAATCTTTTTAGTACTAAAAAATTTCTAAAAAAAATTTATATAAAGAACGTTTAGTACTATTTTTCTATAAAAAACATTTTGTTTAAAATTTTTTTTATAAAATTGTTTATTTAAAAATTATTTAGTACTAATAAATGTTCTTTAAAAATTATTTATTACTAAAAAATATCTAAAAAAATTTTAGTTCTAAAAATTTTTCTATAAATAACTTTTAGAACTAAAAAATATTCTATAAAAATCATTTAGTACTAAATAAATTTCTATAAAAAAACTTAGTACAAACATTTTTTTCTAGAAAAATCTTTTAGTACTAAAAAAATTTCTATAAATAACTTTTAGAACTAAAAAATATTCTATAAAAAATCATTTAGTACTAAATAAAAAAACTTTTAGTACTAAAATTTTTTCTATAAAAATCTTTTAGTACTAAAAAATTTCTATAAATAACTTTTAGTACTAAAAACTTTTCTATGAAAATAGTTTAGTACTAAATAATTTTCAATAAATAACTTTTAGTACTAAAAACTTTTCTATAAAAATCATTTAGTACTAAAAATTTTCCATAAATTTTTTTTGTACTAAAAATTTTCTTTGAAAATCTTTTAGTTCTAAAATTTTCAATCCAATCTTTTATTAGTAAACAATTTCTATAAATAACTTTTGGTACTAAAAAATTTTCAAAAAAAAAAAATTTAGTACTAAACAGTCTTCTAGAAAAATATTTTTGTACTAAAATTTTTTCTATTACAGTCATTTAGCACGAAAAAACTTTTAGTACTAAAAATTAAACAAACAATCATTTCGTACTAAAAAAGTCTTACAAATAGCATTTAGTACTAAAAAATCCTAAAAAAAATTATTTAGTACCAAACAATTTTCTATGAAAAAATTTTAGTACTTAAAAATTTCTATAAAAATCGTTAGTACTAAAAATATCCCAAAAAAACGTTAATATTAAGAAATGCTCTTATAAAAAACTTTTAGTACTAAAAAATGTCTACTAAAATCATTCAGTACTTAAATTTTTTTATAATAATCATTAAGTAGTAAACTATTTTTACAAAAATCATTCAGTACTAAAAATTTCTATTTTAGTAAAAACAATTTTCTATAAAAACTTTTAGTAGTAAATAACATTCGTTTAAAAACTTTTAGTACTAAACAACTTTCTATAAAAAAAAAACTTTTAGTACTAAACAACTTTCTATAAAAATCTTTTAGTACTAAAAAATTTTCTATAAAAACCTTTTAGTACTAAAAATTGTATATAAAAATCTTTTAGTTTTTAAAAAATATTCAGTAAAAAAATCTTTTTAAAAGCAATAAAATCAAAAAATTAATGTATCTAGCAAAAGAAAGAGCGAGAGAGTGATAGAGCTAAAGTAAAGAGTAAAATGTATAAAGATTAAAGAGTAAATATTAGTATATATCACGTATGATAGAATGATAAATTAAAAAAAATATTGAAATTTTAAATACAAATATGTTTTTTTTTTTTTTTTTGTTAATTTTTATAAAGTTTCTTATTTTCTTGGAAATATTATCATTGTGTGGTTTACTTTTAATTTTGAATTAAATATTTTTCTTTCTCAATAAAGTTTAACTTATATAACCTGTTCTTTACAATTGCATTTAGTCAGGCTTTTATTATTACAATTATTATTATTATTATTAATAATATTATTAGTATTATTACTACCACTACTATTGTAAATGTTGTTGTTGTTATTATTAAGATTAATATTATTACTATAACTTGTATTGCTCTTATGCTTACTTTTAGTTGTTGCTGTTACTCACATACGTATACCCGAACTATGGGCACTATGACCACTACTCTGTAGACTTTCATTTGACCAGGAGGTCTGTGGCGATGATGTTACGGGACCCGGAGAGGATGTAGATGCCGTTGCCGATTTTGGTGGTGTGGATTGTAGATTGTAACGGGCATAGAAGAGTAAATAGGGAGTTATAGTTATTTTACGCGCCGGTGATAATAATTCTTCAAATTCTCTTTGTGTCATGGCTTTGATTTTATCATCGTCACACATATACCAGATGGGTTCACTGCAATTGTTTTGCGTGGTGGCATAGGAGGCTTTTGTGGAACCTCTACCCGTGCTGCCGTAACCCGAGGTATTGGCCGATGTGGAGTAGTTATGATGTATGTTGTTGTTGTAATTGGCTGGGGTATTGTAGCCAGAACCGTTGGAATATTGGGAAGATTCTTCACTGAAATCGCTAGTACTATTGTTGGCTGACTGGTATTGCAATTGCTGTTGTGCTGAAAGGCGCATGGCACAACAGTTAATACTTGACAAGTGACCGGACATTGGGGTGTTGCTGCGCCACCAACACCAGCCGCTGTCGAATTATTCATAGATAATTTTCCTATGCCATTTGTAATGGCTTTGCTGCTGCTATTTAAACCATTTAATTGTTTGACATTTTTACTCATATCTCCCGAACTGGAGGCTTTACTACGTCCGAATTTCATCTTCATTTTCATAAACCCGGTACTCGATGAACCCAATCCAGAGGAGGCCGCTGAAGATTGCGAACTATTAGCGGCACTAGTGCTATTACCCGCCGCTGCTCCTAGATTACGTTCTTGACTAGCTCTTCTTCGTTGCTCTTTGGGACAATTGATGTATTCGTTGGCCCAATCCAGCGAACAGGTGTACGCAATGTAATGACCCACCGACATAGTAGCGCCCACATGCGTTATCACACTGTATAATTTATAAATGTGTAATTTGTTGGCATCACTTAGTTCACAGCATTTGGAACAGAAACATTGCAGGGTAAATGATGTTGGAATGTAACTGTTTATCTTCTCCATGCCACCGCTAAAACGGCTCAATTGTATGATCAAGAGACGTGGCAAGACTTCGTAAGATATTGAACGTATGGCCTCGGTATAGCCACAACATTGTTCACAGCGATATTTGTTTCATTGCGAAAATACTCGCGGGTAATGCAGGAATTCTAGGAGGGAAGCCAATAGTAAGTAATAGTCTAAACCTTTTTTTATAAATAACAACTCACCTGTATAAATGATGATGGTCTATCCATAAATTCGTTGCTTTCGTAACCCGCTTGGGGCACAGGTACAGCAATATCAATCATGGTTTCCTTTTGTTCCGTTATCGTTTCACAGCTCAAACACTTGGTGGTCGACACCGTTATGCCCTCAAAGTCCTCATTAAAGAAATCCAAACCCAATTCTCTAATCTTACCCTCCAAACGTTGTTTATCCTTTAGTATTAAGGCCACAGCCGTGGGTGCATCTGTTTCATCTAACGCTGTCGCGCTGCCCGCCACAATAGCAGTAGAATTTGAAGGTGAGGTTAGCGAGTTACTGCCACCGCCAATTGAAGCCGCTCCAACTGTTGCTGAGGCAGCCGAAGTCGATGTCGTATTGAGATCATTTGTATTTAGGTAGAAGAGACTATTTGCTGTGCTCGTGGTCTGTGTATTGCCACTAGACATGAGGGCATCTTTAAGAGGCGATTGAAGGCGGGAGTTTTTGGAATTTTTACTTTCATCTTTTCGCTTTGATTTGCGTGAGAAGAAGGAGGAAGTTTTTGAACTTGCTGAGGCTAAACTATTAATATTATTACTATTGCTAGTGCCAATTGCAATGCCACCACCAACAGCACTGCCAGCAACAGAAGTATGGTTTTTCATTAAATCTCGTTCAACTTCATCAGGGTTGGAAATGTATCTGTAAGAAAGTTTGTTATAAAATGTTATTATAGAACAATTACTTAGTACTTAAAGAAGAAATTTTTAAAATTAAAAGATTTTTATAGAAAATGGTTAAATACTAAGATGTTTAATGCTAAGAAATTTTTAAAAATTTCTTCTAAAGTTGTTCTAAAATTTATTCCATTCTTGTGGCCTTATCAATAAGATCAACTTACCCATTCAATATCACATCTGGACACTCAGCTATGGCTTTGATTAAGGTTTGACTTGTTTCTCTTATACTATTCAATAGACACATTAAAAACTCATGCGCATCTTGTTGTTGATTACCCTCAAATATACTGCTAACATCTTGTATGGCATGCAATAGAGTATCGGCATGATGAGGTTCGGTCGATTCATTAATCTCATTGCGATGCAAACTCTGATAGAGTTCATGCAGTTTTTCAGTCAACAGCTGATGACAACTCTTTTGAGTAACTTGTGTTAGGGCAGAAGAATTGTTGGCCCCTGCGCTAGGGACTGCAGTTCCTGAACCACTATTATACTGTTCCATGGAGGCTAAATCTTTGCTACTCCAACTGCGAGCATTCTCCATGTGCACTGCACTAATGCCGCGACCCAAGGAAGACGATTTTGCTCGTGCTCTCGCTATATTCTGTTGCAGAGCATTCAAATCCGCTAGCAAGTGATGAAGATTGTGCAAGAATTGTGGTGCAAAACGCAGAGTGTATACCACGGAATTCAAATAGCAAGTGTTTCCAATATTACACAGTGTTCCCATGGTGGGCGCATGATTGATGGCACTGCCATTACCCACCAACGAAGGATTCGAATTGCCTGCAATAACAGAACCACTGCTACCCGATAGATAATATTGATTTGCCATTTCTTGTGTATCACTGGTATCATTCATAACCATCGCAGCACCACCGCTACTGGCACTCGACCGACTTGAAGTCATATAACCATTGCCCACAACACTACCGCCTCCGCCACCACCGCGACCATCATTGGTCGTTTGAAATGGACGCTCATACAGCGACATTATACGCGCTCTTTTCTTCGAATTCGTATTTGTTGCTTCGATTGGCAATGGTTTAAGGAAATTACCAGCCGTTGTTTGTTTTTGTTCGCTGTTGTTGTTATCTACAGCAGCGCTTGCAGACGTTTGCACGCCTGTAACAGCAGCAATTTGTGGTGTAATTGGATTGGCTGCTATACGTTTGGGTCTGGGTTGATGTAGTGTCGCAAGTCCTAGGAGTATCGCCTGTGTGTTATTACGTTTACGTTTATTATTGGGTTTCTTAACTTCTTCGCTCAAGGTTTCGATTAGATTTAAGGTTGCATCATCAAGAACGGGGGAAACTGGAAATGAATGAAAAAATTTCGAAATTTTAACAAAGGAGAGGTATGAATGGTTAGTTTAATTTTCAATATCATTATCATCATTTAAATTTGTTATAAAATATACAGTGCTTGGAAATTTGTTTCAATAAATCTGTATTAGTTCTAGTTAAGTTCTAGTTCAGTTCTAGTTCAGTTCTAGTTCAGTTCTAGTTCAGTTCTAGTTCAGTTCTAGTTCATTCTAGTTCAGTTCTAGTTCAGTTCTAGTTCAGTTCTAGTTCAGTTCTAGTTCAGTTCTAGTTCAGTTCTAGTTCAGTTCTAGTTCAGTTCTAGTTCAGTTCAGTCTAGTTCAGTTCTAGTTCAGTTCAGTTTTAGTTCAGTTCTAGTTCAGTTCTAGTAGTTCTATTCATTCTTTCAGTTCCTAGTTCAGTTTCTAGTTCAGTTCTAGTTCAGTTCTAGTTCAGTTCTAGTTCAGTTCTAGTTCAGTTCTAGTTCAGTTCTAGTTCAGTTCTAGTTCAGTTCTAGTTCAGTTCTAGTTCAGTTCTAGTTCAAGTTCTAGTTCATTCTAGTCAGTTCTAGTTCAGTTCTAGTTCAGTTCTAGTTTCAGTTCTAGTTCAGTTCTAGTTCAGTTTCTAGTTCAGTTCTAGTTCAGTTTCTAGTTCAGTTCTAGTTCAGTTCTAGTTCAGTTCTAGTTCAGTTCTAGTTCAGTTCTAGTTCAGTTCTAGTTCAGTTCTAGTTCAGTTCTAGTTCAGTTCTAGTTCAGTTCTAGTTCAGTTCTAGTTCAGTTCTAGTTCAGTTCTAGTTCAGTTCTAGTTTCAGTTTAGTTTCATTCTAGTTCGTTCTAGTTCATTTTAGTTCAGTTCTAGTTCAGTTTCTAGTTCAGTTCTAGTTCAGTTCTAGTTCAGTTCTAGATTCAGTTTTAGTTCAGTTCTAGTTCAGTTCTAGTTCATTCTAGTTCAGTTCTAGTTCGTTCTAGTTCAGTAGTTCAGTTCTAGTTCAGTTCTAGTTCAGTTCTAGTTCAGTTCTAGTTCAGTTTTAGTTCAGTTCTAGTTCAGTTCTAGTTCAGTTCTAGTTCAGTTCTAGTTCAGTTCTAGTTCAGTTCTAGTTCAGTTCTAGTTCTGTTCTAGTTCAGTTCTAGTTCAGTTCTAGTTCAGTTCTAGTTCAGTTCTAGTTCAGTTCTAGTTCAGTTCTAGTTCAGTTCTAGTTCAGTTCTAGTTCAGTTCTGGTTCAGTTCTAGTTCAGTTCTAGTTCAGTTCTAGTTCAGTTCTAGTTCAGTTCTAGTTCAGTTCTAGTTCAGTTCTAGTTCAGTTCTAGTTCAGTTCTAGTTCAGTTCTAGTTCAGTTCTAGTTCAGTTCTAGTTCAGTTCTAGTTCAGTTCTAGTTCAGTTCTAGTTCAGTTCTAGTTCAGTTCTAGTTCAGTTCTAGTTCAGTTCTAGTTCAGTTCTAGTTCAGTTCTAGTTCAGTTCTAGTTCAGTTCTAGTTCAGTTCTAGTTCAGTTCTAGTTCAGTTCTAGTTCAGTTCTAGTTCAGTTCTAGTTCAGTTCTAGTTCAGTTCTAGTTCAGTTCTAGTTCAGTTCTAGTTCAGTTCTAGTTCAGTTCTGGTTCAGTTCTAGTTCAGGGCTTACCTTTCTTTATCAAATATCTTCCCTGAGTCCTATTAAAATCGTTTTCCGCACTACTTTCGCTAACTTTTTCACTAATAGACTCTGAGGATAGTGATGATCCTAATGGTCCTGCTGTAGCAGCTGACCCACTGCCAATCTTTTGTCCTTTTTGTTCCTGTTGTTGTTGTGTTGAAACTTTTTTACGAGTTCTTAGTGTTGCCAAACGAGCTTTAACCTCTTGACTTTGATTTGTTAATGTTTCTGAAGATGTTGCTACACTTGGTTTTTGTTTATTGTTATTACGTTTAGTTGTTGTCGTTATTGTTGTATTATTTGTATTATTTTGTGACTTGTGTTGTTTTAAAGTGTCAACTGCAGTATGACAACATGTAATAATATTATTATTGTTGTTGTTATTGTTATTCTTTTTGCAATTGCAAATGGAATGTAATTTCTTTTTCTTGCTATTTAAATCGTTTTCTTCTGCTAGTGAATGTTTGTGTTGTTGTTGTTGTTGCTGTTCTTTATCTTTATCATCATGTTGAAAACTTTCTGATGTTTCAATACAATGGGATATAAAGATGATACCGAAGTATTAGGAGACGTTAATGGGGAGGCTATATCTGTTGAAATTTCTAGTTCTGTCGATGATAATTTTGTTTCTATTTCTAACAACGATGTTAAATCTTCACAACTAGCTGTTTTACAAATATTAATATTGTTTTCGTATTTTATAATATTTTCAGTATTTAAAGTTGTCTCCACTTTAATTTCTTCTGTGGTAAATTTTTGCTGACTTTTGGCAAAATATTTTAAAATACTTTCTTGTTGAGTTTGAAATGTTTTACTGTAATCTATTGTAGACTCTTGAGAGTTTTTCCTGACGACTGGATTGGCTTTGATGCTATTAGCATCACAATTATCTATTTGATTTGTTGTATTAGATTTTGTAGTAAAAGTTGCGTTAACAATCACTTTCTTAGTTTCAATATTTTTTCGTTTCTTTTTGTGTTTTATTTCATTTATAGCTGTAGTATTATTATTGTTAATTCTACTTTTATTATTGTTGCTGCTGTTGTTGCTGTTTTTGTTACTATTCACCTTTTTCTTTTATTATTGTTTAAATTTATATTTGTTAACTTGATTAAAACTGGAAGACGTTTTTTAGCATTTTATTCGTTTTCTTTGCAGCATTTCTGGGCATTTTTTGCAAACCTAAAATAAGAAAAGAAACAGATTTTAAATTGATTAATTGGATACATTTTTAGGGAGTTAATTGAGGGGCGTATTTAAACGCTCAAAATGCAGGTTATCCCACGTTGGTTCGGAAAGAGCTCTCCAATCGACCTATTACTTTATACATATAGGAAGTTGGAGCTCCGAACAATTAGTTAATCAAAAGTATTATTTGGTCTCCACCAATTTAATCAAACATAACCTCAAACATAACCTCAAAACGAAAGCACGCAACTAATGCAAGCAACGCATAACTTGGGAACAGTTATATGGAGTAATACACTCAATTGGTGAGAGTGGGACGTAACTCTGTCGAAAGCTTGGCAAAAAACACAGGTCTGATGGTCCTTAAGAAATAATGGCAATGACGCGAGAGTTGTTCCCCAACTCAGACCTGAACTATGACTGTCGTAAATTCTTAACAATTATTTTTTATTTAAAAATTGGAAAATTCAAGAATTTGACCTTCTATCTCCTATCTATCTATCTATCTATCTATCTATCTATCTATCTATCTATCTATCTATCTATCTATCTATCTATCTATCTATCTATCTATCTATCTATCTATCTATCTACTATCTATCTATCTATCTATCTATCTATCTATCTATCTATCTATCTATCTATCTATCTATCTTATCTATCTATCTATCTATCTATCTATCTATCTATCTATCTATCTATCTATCTATCTATCTATCTATCTATCTATCTATCTATCTATCTATCTATATATCTATCTATCTATCTATCTATCTATCTATCTATCTATCTATCTATCTATCTATCTATCTATCTATCTATCTATCTATCTATCTAT